CATTTATATTCATGATATGCAAACATGTCACCTTTGATTGGATAACAGCAACTTGACTCATTGCCTTTGTTTGCTTTCTTGGGCAGTGGCAACTCCAGAATTTTTTTTTCTGCAGGTGCTATTAAAGAGCTAGTCTTTTTTATTGAGGGTGCTATGAAGGAAATGGTCATGCATACCTATTGTTCTCTAAAACACCTTCAACACTAGCAGATACACATGTGTGCACAAAACCTCAACAACACCTGAAACAATCATTAATATACATCATAAACATATGAACAATCACTGACTTCTCCATGAAATCATAAACACATACAGCCACACAGAAAACCATCTATAGTGTTGCAAGGTTAGCTAATGTTTGTGTTGGCATTTCCAGCGGCAAAATCCTCGACTGCTGCGGCGGTTGAGGGTTGACTCTCTTCATCCAGATCCATAGATTTTTGTGGGTCTGAGATCACTTCCAAAGATTCATTTGTTTCTGACTGAACCCGTGGTAATTTGGGCAACAAAAACCAATCCATTTTTCCACTAGCTCTACCTTTCACTCGTTCGCAGGTGGAAAATGAGGTCAAAGGTTAACATCAATTTCCTGTTTTGGTTTAAGTTTTTACTATCTATATGATAATTTACTGATGGCTTTTGTATGTTAAATATTATCACATCCACATGTTAAATTAAAATTTAATTGTTAAAAATAAATCTGTTTACTTGGGGGTGCTATGGGGGTTCAATGACTAATCCAGGGGTAGCTTTAGCGCCCCACTGGCACAGCCAATGTTCTTGGGTAAAAGAAAATGGCATTGAAGTTTTATTTCCCTAAATAAGACAAAACCAAACCTGTTGTTAATGCTAACGGTTAGCTTCTACTGGCCGACATGTGCTCTGCTCTCTCCTGGTAGTTAAATGCAGTGGCGGATTTAGCAATTTGGGGGCCCAAGGCGAACACAGACATGGGGCCCTTTACACAAAATTTTCGACAATCTAACTTTTTAACTGGATTTGAGAAACTCTCTCCTCTTCCAAAATGAGTTGTTTTCCCTTTTTAATTAGTCCTCCTCTTTTTCCCTGTATTTCCCTCCCTTTGAGTGCTTTCAATATTTGCTCTGCTTTTTTCCTGTCAGTGCTCCTGTGCTTTTGCCTTTGTTATTTTTTTTCTATTTTCCATTTTGGTCCATGTTTTCCTCCCTTTAAACATTTTCCATTGTCTTTCCTTTTCCGCTTCCTTTGATGTTTACATCGAAAAACGACGTCACTTTCAGAAAGCTTTTTTAAAGCAAGCTGCTTCTTTCTCTTATTGGAGCCACTAGGATAACTCCATTTCATGCTTAATGTTTTGACTATCGCTTTGAGTTTGTTACGAATGCTCCCGACTCTCTTATTCTTCTTATTTGTTGCCTTGTGGCACTTGGCAAACAACAATTTGGTGCATTACCACCACCAACTGGATTGGAGTGGAATGACTACCAATCACTTCCTGTTTGTGCATCGCCATCTTAATAACCCTCTTATGACCATAATTATAACAGGGCCACCTTGTATTTTTTCTTATGGCTATAAAATTGCAATAAAAAGTGCAAAGTGTGTGTAACTCCTTTTTTCAGAACAACCTCTGCTTTCAGTGTATGGTTTGTATTTAGAATGTATTTCTAATAAAGCCTTTAAATCAGCTTCAAAGTGAAAAAAAGCAAAAAAATGGATTGAATTTTTTACATTTATTACTGAACAGGAACTTCAAAATGACTTGGGCAAACAATTCGGAATGAACAATTTAAACTTTGTACTGTAATGCATCTATTCTTAAAAAAGTGTGAACCTTGGTATCTTTTTTAGCAGTTTTAAGATAATTTATTTTTGTAAACTTTCAGACGTTTTTATTTGATGTGGTAGGCCTTGAAGCAGTTTCTCTCCAGCTGCAGGCAGAGCGCACCTCACACTGCCATGGGATGATTCTCTTGCACACCGTGCACTGCTATACCAAAAACTTTTGTTTTAGCAAAAATAATCATTTATTGTAAAAATATAAATAATGCTGGAATGAAGCTGAATCTTACAATTAGCGAATAGCTGAGGGTTGTTCAAAATAAATAAATAAATAAAACAGACTGAACAAACATTCATACCCTGGTTCACTCGAGATCTGTCCTTCTTCGTGGTCACTGTCTTCAGATATAAGCCTTCTGGGACACGTAATAGATTGTGTTGATTGTCTTTGAGGCATTTCCATAATTTCATGCCGGCTTTTTATGCTAATTAGCTTCCCCCTTCCATTATCCTCTTTCACCGCGACGCTGCGCTCCGCTGCGCTCCACTGTGCTCCGTTTCAGTCAGGCTGTACAGCAGGATGTCCATAAATCGTTGGAAAGCTGCTTCTCTATACTTTTAGGAACTGTTGGAATTTTTAAAATCTGATCAGCCATTCAAAAGTTATATAACGGAGCATTTTGTATGGCAAACTCAGCACATCTCTGAATCTGTGTTGTGATTCGTTGCGCTCAAGACAGGGAATCCCGGTGGCTTGTATATACACGAAAAGCCCCATTTTTCATCTTTTCGGTACTTTTGGAATTTTACAGATATCTTGAACGGTTCAGGAATTATGGTAAGGAGAATTGCGCATGTCCAATCCCGTTGTCGGCGACAGGTTGGTAATAAGAATATTGTGGCATTAATAGAGGGATGCCGACAGTCAGGGCTTGGGGGCCCCCCAACACAAGGGGGCCCCAGGCAGCTGCCGACCTATGCCTAATGGTAAAACCGCCACTGGTTAAATGAACACAGCTGGTTATGGTTGCAAACCAATGTGAGTCCATGAATGCAAATTTACAGTGTGAGGGAAATCTGTGTGAGTTTGTCCAACCCGAGTGTTTTTCCATCTGTTTGGAAATAGACTATTTTCACATTCAGCCTGCGTGTGAAACTTGGTACGTTTCAGTGTGAGGTAGAACTTTAAACTTTGGGATCTGTGTGGTTAGATGTTTATCATATTATTAGCTCTCTGGATGTGCAGGTACTGTATTTGTGTGTGTTTGCACAGATGCTCACTTGAAATATTATGCAGCGTGAGTTTCCCCTGCCCATCTGTTGGGTGCCGGTTCCACTTCCATCTCAGCTTGGCTTGTTTTTGTTACCATGTCCCCCTGCAGGCAGTTGTTTAAAGACATGCATCTCTGTGTGCCTGGCTCACCTCTGCTGGATCCCCTCAGGGTGGCTGTGCTCTGTAAGTGAATTGACCTGCAGGTCCCCCTTGGGTGGGTGGATTTCCCAGGATGCCGTGTTTTGTAGGCAAGTCTTCACTGGGACCCTCATTATTTTAGCGGAAGACACTCAAAGGAAGAAGACAGATTTTTTTTTAGGAACGAGATCTCTTCTGGCTGTGCTTCACAGAGTTTCTTGGCACATACATTTGTGTTTGTTTGGGTATTTTTTTCCCTCACTCAATTTCTTCCATTACAATGAGAGAAATCGTTGTGCTGAATACAAATGTGGGGCTTTAATTGAGAGTTGTGCCCCTGAGGTAAGATTCCCCCAGTTTTCACCAGATTGTTCATGAAACCCCAAGGTTGGTGCTCAATGTTAATTATCAGAAGTTCAACAAACAATTAAACAGATGGGCAGTGATGTGTCAGCGCATGGCGGTGAATGAAGCGGATGCAAGGATCCAAATGTGGGTCAGGTAAGCAGGCACACAGGAACGATAAAAGGTTTTAATGGAGAACACGCTAACATAGAAACAATGATCCAACAAGAGACACAGAACTGAAGGGGTTTAAATACAAGAGGGCTGGGAGCTTGGGTGATTGGGAAACGAGAGGCAGGTGGGAGCAATTAACATGGGGACAGGACTGAAGACAATGGGGAGACAGGACAAGGCATGACAGCCCCCCCCCCCCCCACACACACACACACACACAAAGGGCGGATTCCGGACGCCCACAGGAACACAGAGCAGGGCGGGAGGAGGGGAGGCAGGGACCAGTAGAGTCCGGGGACTGCGCCTGGGGCAGAGGAGGCGACAACGGGCTCCTGGGGGCCTGCGCCTGGGGCAGAGGAGGTGGCGACGACGGGCTCTTGGGGGCCTGCGTCTGTGGCAGAGGAGGCGGCGACGACGGGCTTTTGGGGGCCTGCGTCTGTGGCAGAGGAGGAGGCGACGACGGGCTCTTGGGGGCCTGCACCTGGGGCAGAAGAGGAGGCGACGATGGGCTCTTTGGGGCCTGTGCCTGGGGCAGAGGAGGAGATGACGACGGGCTCTTGGGGGCCCGCGCCTGGTGAGGGCAGGACTGGCGATGACCGGAGGCAGAGACGCCGGAGGACACGTCCTTGACTTCTTGACTGGAGGAGGCGGCGACGACCTCAGGGCTGGAGACGGCGACATCGACCACTGGACTGGAGACGGCGGCGTCGACCATGGGACTGGAGACGGCGTCGAGCACTGGACTGGAGATGGCGTCGACCATGGGCCTGGAGACGGCGTCGACCACGGGACTGGAGACGGCCTCGACCATGGGACTGGAGACGGCGTCGACCACGGGACTGGAGATGGCGTCGACCACTGGACTGGAGACGGCATCGACCACGGGACAGGAGACGGCGTCGGCCACTGGACTGGAGGCAGCGGCGACCACTGGACTGGAGACGGCGTCGATCACTGGACTGGAGACGGCGTCGACCAATGAACTGGAGACGACCTCGACCACGGGACTGGAGACGGCGTCGACCTCGGACAGGAGGGAACGTCGACCTCTGGACTGGAGGGAACGTCGACCTCTGAACTGGAGGGGACGTCGACCTCTGGACTGAAGGGGAAGTCGACCTCTGGATGCGAAGGAGCGTCGTCCTATGGACACGAGGGTGCGTCGACCTCTGGACACGAGGGAGTGTCAAACTCTGGACACGAGGGAGCGTCGACCTCTGGACACGAAGGAGCATCGACCTCTGGACACGAAGTAGCGTTGACCTCTGGACACGAAGGAACTTCGACCTCTGGACACAAAGGAGCGTCGAACTCTGGACACGAAGGAGCGTCGACCTCTGGATACAAAGGAGCGTCGACCTCTGGACTGGAAAGAGTGTCAACCTCTGGACTGAAGAGAGCGTCGACCACTGGACTGGAGAGAGTGTCGACCTCTGGACTGGAGAGAGTGTCGACCTCTGGACTGGAGAGAGCGTCAACCTCTGGACTGGGGAGAGTGTCGGCCTCTGGACTGGGGAGAGCGTCGACCTCTGGACTGGAGAGAGCGTCGACTCAGGACTGGAAAGGGCGTCGACCACAGGACTGGAAGGGGCGTCAACTTCAGGACTGGGGGCGTTGATCTCCATCGACTTCTGGTCCGGAGGCGTCGACTTCTGGTCCGGGGGCGTCGATTTCTGGTCCGTCGACTTCTGGACCATCGACTTCTGGTCCGGGGGCGTCGACTTCTGGTCAGGGGGTGTCGACTTCTGGTCCGGGAGCGTCTGCTTCTGGACCGTCGGCTTCTGGACCGCCGGCTTCTGGACCGTCGACTTCTGGACCGTCGGCTTCTGGACCATCGACTTCTGGTCCGGGGCGTTGACTTCTTGTCCGGGGGTGTTGGCTTCTGGACCGTCGGCTTCTGGACCGGAACCGTCGACGTCTGGAGTGGAGGCGGAGCCGCTGCAGGAGGGGATGCCGACTTCTGGACTGGCCGGCCCGGGGGAAGAGCCTCTAGGGTCACTGCTGGGACTGGAGCGGACTGAACTGGTGGCGCCGGAAACTGGGAGACCAGGGAGGCTAGAGTGTCCAGCTGGAGCTCCTGGAGAATGAGGCTCTGATGGAGTTGGGCCAGCTCAGCTCGGAGACCGGCAAGCTCTGCTGGGGTGACTGCGGGCTCGATCCTTTGGCCTGGAGACGAGGGAGCTGCTGACTGGACCGACACCTTCTCCTGGTGATTCACGGAGGATAGGGTGTCCAGCTGGAACTCCTGGAGGCTGGCGAGCTGACAGATCCGGCCAAGCTCCGCCTGGAGACCGGCGAGCTCTGTCAGCTGGGCTGTAGGCATGGTTCCTCTGCCTGCTGATGATGGAGACGCTGATTGGACCGGAGACGGGACTGCTGGTCTGACTGGGGGCGGGCCCAAGCTGGTGCGCCGAGCCGGGGCAGCGGCGAGCTCGCGGCTCTGTCCTGGGACATGGGGTTGCGGTGGAGCCCGGCATCTTCCCCACGCAGTGGGTCAACCCCAGGGAAGCACACAGCCAGTCTGGTGCCCACGTAGCAGGAGCGATCTGGCAGCGTCTCCCGGTCCAACCTCTCATCTCATTCCGAGAGGGTGGAGAGGATCGCCGAGGCTGAAGTTCGGTGGCGCCGTCTGCGGCGAAGCGACGGCGGAGGAGGAGAAGCCGGCCGGTGGTCCGAGGAGAGAAACTGGAGCAGGCACTCCCAGGGGAGTTTACTGTTTGATTAGATTAAAGGCTGATTCATGCTTCTCCATCAGCTCCTCAAGGGACAGACATGCACGGATTGATGAAGCATTTTGCTCTCATACTTCTCCGTTTCCTGAGGAGTGTTGCAAAGCAAATCCCTGGCAGGACAACAGAGGGCGTAGCGCTGTTCTTTGGTATCCTGTCATGTATCTGGTCCAAGATAGTCTGTTTATATTGTTTTTGTATAAAAGAGACTTTTTAACAGGGACAAATTTGTCTCTCATTCTCCTCCACCTCTTCATGCACTCGCAACCTCTAAACCCACGTCTCCTGTCATTTCCATCCACAAAAAAAAAACGCTTGCTGCGTATCTTTTCACTCATCCAGTCACGGGGGAATTAAAGTTTTTATTTTAGTGTTTTTTTCGTGAGGTATTCTTCAAGCTTCTCCGTGTCTGCCGCTAGTTATCCTCGGCTCTGTTTGTGTTTTTGAGGGTGCAATGTTGGCGGTGTAGACGACAGCGGTGCCCTGACCAATCATAAGCTTGCATTCTCCATCTCGTTTGACGGATGTTTAAAAAAGTGGGATCGACTCCGTATGTACTTGCGTGCTTGCCGGGGCCCTACGCAAGGACGGATAATGGTGTTGCGTGTCTCCGCTCTGATGCAGACGGAGAAGTATGAATCAGCCTTAAGCCTTCTCACTTTGTTCTGCTCAGCCACCAAAGTGGCAGCAGCCCCTCCAGATTAATACAGTTTGAGCCTATCAGAGCCTTTCAAGCTGGCTGAATGTTTACGTCTCATCTGTCACACAACTTCTGTTTCTTCACGGGATTTTATACCTTCAGACAAGGCGACCGTGAAAGGACGTTACATATGATACATGCCATCAAGTTTTAACTCTTGTTTACGTTGTGGTGCTTCTCACGTTGCATATTATTGCTGAATTGGGATCATTCTATTTTTCATTTAGCACATTTTGTTCAGCCACTTGGCTTTGGAAAAGCAGACATATCAATGTCTTTCTTGCAGGGGGTAAAGTTACATCCAAATATACCGGAGAGGAGATGAAACAAACTGCTCCTTGAGGATACATTACGGGTATGAGTAAAAGCAATAACCATAGAAAAGACAGGGTTGACTGCTCGTAATGAGGAGTCATGCACCGATTAACAATTTCAAGAGATGGACCTGGAGTTTTCTACTTTGGCTGTTTCCAATTCTCTTTCTCATTAGAGCAATAACTGGCAGGAGAAAAAATTTGAAATAAACCTGATAAGTGCCCCCTAGGTTGCAGGGTCTTTGAATGTCACTCAAATGAAGCTCGGAACACAGCGCTCATGAGACAGATCTGTATAAATAGAGTATTCTCTCTCAGAGGACTTCAAGAAGACCACAGAGTTTCAGTTTGCTTTATCAGATGAGTTTGTGTCTTCATTTATTAAAAAAAAGTGCCACTTTTACTAAATTAGCTCTTGCTGTTTACTAATGATTGTATTTTATCATGAAATAAGTCAATTAACAGATTTTATTGAAATTGTGACATGCAGGATTCACGTTAACTGGATATTTTCCATATTTTACCAGATTTTTAAAATAGCAAATAAAAGATCTGAAGACTGTCATTTTGACAGATCACAGTTCACCCCCAACTCTACACAGACTTGCTCAGATATAAGGATCCTGTGGCATTATGGTTTAAGAGCCTTATTTATGGAGTTCATTCATCTCTACTGGTACCAGTATTTTACTTATTGAGGGATCTCATAATATGGCCATTCCTGTTTAATACAGATTGTTGGTCATTCAGATGCATTTTTGTCAAATCAGCTTTTTCTACCATTGAACATAAATACCAGCTAATGTCTTTTTCCTAAGACTCAAGCATTTGTGAAGCCATTAAATGGATCATTATGTTTGAACTGAACCAACTAGATGTTGCGCTGTGGGTTGGAGGAGCTGGACCCAATGCGCAGATACCCAGAACGACACGAAGCAGGAGAGGATGTAAAGGAAACATTCTTTATTAAAAATGACGAATACTAAATAAAACCTAGAAGGACTAGAAGCCTAAAATCCTGGAAGGGCACAAAGCCAAAAAATAAATCCTAGAAGGGCACAAGGGCACCAGCTAAAAATCCTAGAAGGGCATAAAGCCAGAAACCTAGAGACCTAAAATTTCCACAGTTATGCTGATGATACACAGCTGAACATCTCTGTGTCTCCTGATGATACACGGCCAATGGACACACTTTTTAATTGCATTTTTGACATCAAATCCTGGATGGCAGAAAACTTTCTCCAGCTCAACCAGGACAAAACCGAAGGTTTTGTTATCGGTCCAGAGGCCCAGAGAGAGAAGCTTTTAACAAAATTGCAATCAATGTCTCTTAATCCATCTTCACAAGTGAAGAACCCGGGTGTCATCTTTGACTCTGAGCTGACTTTTATCCATCATATTAAAAATATCACCAAAATAGGTTTTTATCATCTGAAGAACATCGCCAGAGACCGCCCCATTCTCTCTTGGGCCAATACGGAGATGCTGATGCATGCTTTTATCACCAGTAGAATAGATTACTGCAATGCCCTGCTTCCTGGTCTTCCTAAAAAGAGGATTTCAGGTTTACGAGTATTACAAAACTCAGCAGCACATGTCCTGACGAACACCGGGAGGCGGGAGCACATCACTCCAGTTTTAGAATCACTGCATTGGCTCCCCGTATGTTTCAGGATTGATTTCAAAATATTTTTAACGGTTTTTAAGTGTCTTAAGTGTCTTGGGCCTTCTTATCTTTCAGAACTGCTTTTACCGTGTGAACCCATGCGGTCTCTGCGCTCCTCTGGCAGCCGTCTCCTTGTCATCCCTAAAGTTAGGACACATTCATGGCAAGGCGTCTTTCCAGTACTACGGTCCTCGCCTCAGGAACGAGCTGCCAGGGGACCTCAGGGCTGCTAAGAACATTCAGGTTTTTAGAAACAGGCTCAAGACTCATCTTTTTAGCTTAGCTTTTAACTGAATACCATCACTTTTTAAATTATTTAATTACTTAGTTTATTTATTTATTGTATCTATTTATTTTATTTATTTAATATATTCCTTCTTTATACGTGCTTTTTAAACAGTTTTTTACCTTGATTTATGATCAACATTATTTTAATATCTGTATAACTTTTCATATTACAATTTATATTTTAGCTCTTTGGATTTTATATTTTAACCTTAATTTAACCTTTTTCCAGTGCTTCCTCTGTAGGAGCCCTCTGTCCCGGTGGCGGTGGTCAGCTGTTGCGGCCTGGGTGCTTTCCAGGTGTGCCTGGGTGGTGGTGGGGGTGGGGGTTGGGTGTTCTGCCCTCCCTGCCCTGGGTGCCCTGTGTCAGTGCCTCGGCTGCTGCTGTGGATCTGGGACAGGGGCAGGATGATTGGGAGATGAGCTGCAGGTGCGTGGGGAGAGAGAAACCTGGTCAAATCAATTTACTAATCAGGGAGAGGAAACTAAGCTGAGGAGGGGAAATAAAACATGACCTTTGAATAATAACCAAACCTAAAGACTGGAAGAACAAGACAAATAACTAATGATCTAAAGAGGAAGGGAGAACCAATAAAACGGTGGGGAAAGACCAAGGAAGGAACCTAGAAGAAAACCTGAGCCTATGAAACTACAGGGAAAAATTAGCTAGATAATGCATATACAAAGAAAACTAAAGAATAAGTGAACCTGGAAAACCTGGTGGGAGCTGGAGACAAGAAGGGGCACAGGAAGCTTAGGTACACATGAGGGGGGTCCAAGAGGGACATCTGGAGGGGTTGGAGACCTAACGGAGCACAGAAACCCAAGGGGAGAAACTGGAGTAGGGCTGGGGAACACAAGGAGGCACATGAGGAACACAAGGAGACACATAAGAGGAACCTAGAGGGGGGCTGGAAAACACATGAGGGGGACGCAGACCATGACACCAGAGCTCTATACTTGATAACTGCAATCATGTTTTATTTTTTTATTAAGGACATTTTGGCGTTCCTGCTGGCCAGTATAAAGATCGGAGACCTCGCCCTGCTTAGATCAGGATTCATTTAGCCTCTGCAGATATTTCTCTGAATGGTCCTTACCGAGTGTTTTAATTATTTTTCTCATCCTGAACTCAGACTTTAAGGCATTGAGATAAATGTCAGAAGACTTTACAATAATTGTATTGTACATCCAGGCACCCACTCCTCTTCCCACAGGCAGGGTCACTTTTTTGTTGATCCTGTCTCGACAATGTTGTGTATAACATCTCTTTTCCCTGCAGAGATGGAGACATGTCTGCTAATAATTGCCCGTAATTAGCATAAATGTTTGTGTTGTTCTGCTTTAATTTCATGCCCTCGCTACAGCATTTAGTTTCAATTTCCTAAAGGTCTCACAAACTAGAGCATATATTGCAAGAGGTGGGGTACGAATTACACATATCTACTTGTTTTCATGGTATTTAGAGTGTGTCAGGTCCAAGAGAGATGCTGTTTTTGTCTCCTAACAGGATTTGTGACCTTTTTAAATGTACAAACAGCCTCCTTGGTTGAAAATATAAACTTTTAAGTATAAATATGTGCTTCAATTTGGACTGTAAAGTAAATAAGTACATTCTATCTAGAATTTTTTTGTGTTGGCTGACATTACCAACTACACAAGTCCATTTTTAGACTAAATTGTTTTATTGAAGACAAAGACTACTTTTCTTAACACTTGCAATTTCGTTAAAAAAATACCCAGCTTGAAAAAGTACATTCTGCTTACAACAGCCCATAATGCTGAACAGTTCCCACTTATCACTATGTGATACTTACAAAGTTTGTCAGTGGCATATCCCTCCTGCTACTGACAAAATTATTATTCTAAACAAGGAAACAGCTGTATGAGCACAATATAGTTTTAGTGAGAATTAATGAAACACCTTTAATTTCAGCATGTACAGTTGAATTTCCTGAGATAATTTTAAAATTGGCCAGTTTTGCATCAAGTGATAAAAAACATAAATGTAATGATATCACATAGGGTGGGATTTAATACTTCACTCCTCATTAGCTGCATTTGTTGTGTAGCTTGTATTTGTTTTAATTTATTCATAGTTAGATTTTTTTTATTCTTTCATATTTGAGTTGGTATTTGTTTTCCAAAAGCAGCTCTCTGCAAAGATCCTCTAGAATTCAGGTCGCAACTCACTGTTGGCCACTTTTAGACAATCGTTTTTTATCAATCATTTGTGTGTGTGTGTGTGTGTGTGTGTGTGTGTGTGTGTGTGTGTGTGTGTGTGTGTGTGTGTGTGTGTGTGTGTGTGTGTTTCTTCCCCAACCAGTAAATTTTAATTACCCTTAAAGATGCCAAAAATTGTGTCTGGGTATAATATTGTTTGTTTGTATCCATTTAATTATTGACACATTATTGTTTGTT